CCCCAAAACCCCAAAACCCCAAAACCCCAGTTTCTCAAATTTAGAATTGTATGGAGAGAAGCGTATTCAGTTAACCCCAAAACCCCAAAACCCCAAAACCCCAAAACCCCAAAACCCCGTTTCTCAAATTTAGAATTGTATGGAGAGAAGCGTATTCAGTTGCTTCTAAAACATCTAAATTCTTGGTTATTTGCACAGGTTATTTAGTACTAGTTAGTTTATTAAGAAGGGATCTGTTGTTAAAGTATCACGTATTTGGAAAATTACTTGTTTCTATATTGAAATCTCAGTTTGATTCATCTTCATCACTGTCGGCAGAAGTTCAAAGTGATGCTTCAATTTCATGCTTGTTTTTCTTCTTTATAGAATTCTTAACAGTTTTGTGATTGTTGAATCCATATCTTCTAAGCCTCACAAGTTTATTCGAGAGCAATTCACTTGATGATAGTCTGCTATTTAGAGTCACATACTCAGCTAAGACTCTCTCAACCTTCTTCGATACCTATAGCAACAAAATGTTAAATTATTGAAATTTTTTAAAAGAACAGGTCGGACAAATTCGAACGTATTTATATTATTGAAAAGTTCTGGACTGCATCGCTTCATTTACTAAGTATACATATGTGAACTTACCAACTCGCTGTCAGCCTTATTTCTATCCTCATCTAACACTCTGACAAAGTCTTGCTTGTCATTAGGAGTTGTATTGAACATATTTAGGTGAAACTCTGACTTTTCCTTAATAACCTTCTTTACTACCTTATTTTGTGAAATAAGTAAGGCTTTGTGGGATCTTTCTTTAAAGGAGCATTCTTTAGCTCTAAAACTTGCATAGGTCAGGTCTAAGCTGTTGAGGGTGCCTCAAACCGTCCTTTCACGATGTACTCTGTGCTCTCAATAGTGTCTAGAATCAGCTACATACATTTCTTTTGATTTCCTGGATTTCATTACTATATTTATAATTTGGATAAATATAGAGTTCAACCCTTACAATAGTTTTGGGGTTTTGGGGTTTTGGGGTTTTGGGGTTTTGGGGTTTTGGGG